AATTGAATATTTCAAATAACTAACAGTGAAGCTTTGAAAGTCCTCAACATAAATGATAAATGTCTGAAGTGAAATGTCACATTGATCCCCATAAACATGTACTATCACTGTGTGTCAAAAATAAAAAGCATTTTTTAAATGAAAAGAGCAAAGATTGAGAGGGTCCACAGTAAGAGTATGAGCTAATAGTTGTTTTAGTCTTATTTGGGAACTACGGTAACATAGCTGTATGCTGATGACAACCAATAAAGAGAAGCAGACGAAAGACATAGAGAGTGGAGATGATGGTAAGAGCATCTAAGAAATGCAAAGCAATGAGGAAATCAAATCAGAGTAGAGCCAGAAAACCAATTGTTTGTCCAGCACCAAAAGAAACAGGTCAATTCTTTCTCAGGAGGGAAACAGGAAAGGAAGGTACAGATGGTGGTAGGTTGGTTGACTTGTTGAAGAATAGAAGTGTATCTCCATTTGATTAAGTCTGTATTCTCAGTGAAGTGCAAGAAGGTCACCTGCAGGTTTCTTAGGAGAGGCTATTTTGGCATGTTGAGAGAAAGAAGGGATAAAATAGCTTCTGGAGATTCCAAGAGGCACAGTATCAGGAAGAGGTCAGTTGATGCCTGGGCACAGTTGAGTGACCATTGAAAACTTTCAGTGTTGACTTCACATCAGAAAGTACAGGGGGATGTTTTTCTGTAGTCTGTACCATTGCTCCAGCACAGATGCAGAGCTGAGATACAGTTAAGCCTCTCTGCACAGACAATTGTTCTGAATCATGGAGTTGGTATCAATCTTTTAATTTTGACCAAAGTCATCCTGAAATGTACTGCATACTTTCCTCCCATTCTAAATGAACAGGATCACATGTAGACAACTGTAGAAATGTCAAGCTGAATAGTGTAGGATCAATACACTGCTGAAGTGAATGAAGCCTTCACCATATTGATGAACCATCTCTGCTGCCTGGGGCATCTTTATTAATGGCACTGAACAGGCACATGAAGTTACTGATGGATATTCATCCTCCCTTGTAAATACTGAGGGACAACTGTATTATGACCTATGACCCAGCCATTTGATCAAAAGTAAACAGGAGAAAGCAAAGCATTTGCTACATGGTATTAACAATACTGATACAAAAAAGCTTCACATTATGTCAATAAGTAATTTGTATATATATTAGTGTGAAGATGAATAAATACTCACTAGATATGTGATTATACATGACCAAAAGACTGAAAGACTAAAAGGAAATACAACAAATTGTTAATAATGATTACTTCTTTATTTGAAGTTTTATATATTAAAAATAACCCACAGTACTTTAACTTTACAATGATACAGCAAAGAGAAAGTAGGGGAAAAATCAGAGGAGATTAATATTATAGAAACCAAGTCAGAGAATTTTAATAAAACAGTAGATTTACTATAAAACCTCACACAGATTGTGGTACAATCATAGAATTTATTGTTCCCAGTGGAACAGATTGAAAATACAATGGATTCAAAATTGGTTCTGTCTCATTTCCAATGTACAGTGACAGTTTTAGCATGCTTTCAAAATTAATGCATGGTGTAAGGTTTTACACATTGCAGAAAACAGAACCCTGAGATAGCTAGGCCACTCTTCTGACTCAGCCAAAAGAAATCCCACATTTTCCTTCTCCACCAAAAATGCTGGCACGTGTCATGTTGTGTGTCACAGAAATGCTCATTTCTGTGATTAGTTTTAAAAGCCCAAGCTAGAGACTACTGCAGACACAACTCTCATTCCTCACGGAAAAGGCAAACAGAACATATATTTTACAGCTATTTCTCCATTATCTCAACTTCCTTGAACAAGTCTGATAATAATCCTTTATTCACCCATTTTAAACAGATTCGTGGTCTCTTGAGCATGGTGCTCAAGACAGAGAGTCATTCCAAACTTCAGAATGGGCTGCTTGAATTGCATTGCTTGACTTGAGAAACACTTTTCCACTTTGTTAATTCTCTTGTTGACTGAGCAATTCCATCCTGACTTTAATATTTACTAAGATGCCTGAAACCTTTCACACAAATGCAGTTTCATCTGCTTGCTTGGGTAACTTGTAGCAAACTCATAAAAATTAGCCTGATGTGTACAGAATTCTGTAAAACATTCCAGTCACGTAAATCTGCTTCTTTTCTGCACCAGACTCATATCTGAAATGTCAGACAGGATTGAGTCATCCACATCAGTTTTTGTGAAGTTCTGATACAGTAACAAATGACGTTAAAATCCCAGTGATTTACAAAAAGAAAGGTTGGTTTCTCACTCATGATGCACAAAATCTGTTGTCACCTCCTGCTTTGTTGCGTTATCTTTGTTCTGGACTTTAGACTGAAGAGGCAGGTTTTTCTAGAGCATATTCTTCTAGTGGCAGTGGAGGAGCAAAGCCATAACAGGGCTCTTAAGCCTTTTGCTTGGACCTACCATGGCACTTTGCATGTATTCCATTGACTAGGACAAATCCACTGTAGTTATAAGCAGGACATGAAACATAGTTCTATTAGAAGAAGGGCAGATAATAACTGAGAACAAGGGCTTTTCCAGTGGCTCAAGCACTTGCCTAGCAAGTGTGAGGCCCTGAGTTCAAATTCTAATACCACCCCCCCAAAAAAACCCTAACAAACAAAAAAAACTACACAGTTAAAATGCAGTCTAGTCACATTTTAGGGGCTGGAAGAGTGGGTCAAGTGGTAAGAGCACCTGCCTAGCAAGTACGAAACCTTGAGTTCAAACCTCAGTGTCACCAAAAAAAATAAATAAAACTGAGAATATTGCTATAAGCCACAATACACTATATTTTATATATCATACATAGACTATTCTTATATAACAATGCACATATGGCTTTGTTAGCAAAGGACTTGGGTACATCAAGAACTGTGAATTTGGCCAGCCCCCAAAGAAACAGATACTTATTCTTCTCTCTCAAGAAGGAAGTTAAAGAAGGCAGGAATACACACACACTTATCCACTTAACCCATCCAAGTTGCCTGTGTGTCTGATTCTCATTCTATGATCTGTAGATTTTACCATATAATTATTTCTGTTCCATAGCTCATTTCTTTATTTCAAAGTCCTTATTTTCTGTTTCTAATGAAGCATCCAGTCAAAATTCTTCTAAATATCAACTATACCAATTTCTTCATTTTAATAGAACTATTTCTTTCAATGCATACTGAAAATATTGGCATTCAACTCTACTCTATTAAACCAGAAATGACTTTTTGGTTTTTGTTTGTTTGGGTTTTTTTTGTTTGCCCACTATTCATCTATTTTCTGTTCCCAGATTTCTGTGCCTATGATGAGGCAAGGTAAAACTGAATGTAAGTTTGGTGTGAAAATAAATTTCTTGTTTAAAATCTAAGTTGAAATATATTTCCCCACTGGGTAGGGATATTTAATCTATGTAATATTCTATGTTACATTTCTATGTATTCTCATCATAGTTGATATTCTTGTCCAACCATCTATCACCCAAAGTCATGAAGGCTACTCTTGCTCACCTGAAAATAGTGAGCCATGCTCTAAGTTTGTGTATTCCTAGGATGCCATATTTCTTGCAGATTATCAGTGTTCCCTAACCCTAATGCCTCTATAGATAGAATCCACCTCTGTGTTTGTATTCTTAAGTAAAAAATACTTTAACTGTTGTCTTCATTCCTGTATCACTGCTGACAGTCAGTAGAAACCAAGGATTCAAGAAGCGTGGCTTTCTAGTGCTAGAAAATCTCTTATGTGAAGATCTAGGAAAATCTGACTTTTGTCATCATTTCCTTCCATAAGTTTCCATCATCATCATTTCCATTCTCCTAAGCTAATAATATTGACCAAGATTGTGGTCATCAAAAGCCTATGTTTTTAGAGGTGATAAATATGCTTATGGCATTGACTGTGGTGACAATTTTTCATTGTGGTATTTACTTATATCCAAATCATTCAGTTGTATACATCAAATTACATGCAACTTTTTGTAAAAGAAAAATCCTATGCTAACTGTCTTAAGTGGTCACATATTTTGACTATATGCACATTTCCATTAGCATATCAATTGAAAATCACTGTTTTATCATCTAGTAACTCTATCTTTCAGATATACTGAGAGATTTTGTAGTCAACAAAAGAAGTTTAATTTTCATCTCAAAGTATTCATCTTGAACCTTGATAATACTTGGTCCTCCTAAAGATTGTGAGTAATGAATTAGATTTGTAAGAGATCACCAATCCTTCAGTCACAAGTTCCCACAAAAGAGTGACACAGTCAGGAAAGCTTCCCCATCTTCATGGTTATCTACCCATCCCAGAAAGGGGTTTTAAGACCAAAGCTGAAGATACCTATCTTCTTAGCATCCAGTGTCATTCCATAGCTGTGCTCAGCGTAACCACGGCCCTGTGCCAGATCCTGAGAGAGGGTCAGCGTCCTTCCCGGATGCCAGACCTTGCCTGTTCTTCATTTCTTGTTTGATTGAATTATGAATTATGAACATGAAGCTCAATTTTTTCAGCTTTCTGTGTTTTCCTGCTGGTTGGATATTGCCAGGCCATACAATCTAATCAGAGTATCACTCCTACATGGCTCAAATCATTTACCCCCAACCTTGACCTGTCTTCTTAGATTTGATACCCAGCCCTTATCCATGGGTTTGGTGTGAAGGCTTAGATATTTTAAGTAAATTGTGGACCAGTGTTCTATCTGTCCAGTGTATCTTTTTCCTGGGTCCTTGTGACATGTGCTTGCTATCTGTCTTAGAGCCATCTACCCTGGTGAGCATTTTCCACTAAGAGACTCAGAAAAAAGGGATGACCTCACCACTGAGTGGCATTGTCAAACATACTTCAGATGCGTAGATATAAAATACGCACAACATAATGTGGGAGCTTTATTTAGGCTTTGTTTTAAACTACATTAAATATTTTTCAGATTTTTTGATAATTTTAATCCATGAAAATAAACTGATTTCTCTATTACTTTCAGATGGTCCAGTAGTCTATGCAGCATACTTAAAAATGGAGCACAGTGATGAGAATATTAAATTCTGGATGGCATGTGAAACTTATAAGAAAATTGCCTCACGCTGGAGCAGAAATTTCAGGGCAAAGAAGCTTTATAAGATCTACATCCAGCCACAGTCCCCTAGAGAGGTAACAAGGATGGGAAGTGGATATGGGCACATCTCTTGGAGGACACCGATATGTCACACATCCATATGAGCCAGGCATTTTACATTCCAGTATCTCCTAAAATGATAAAATTTCAATCTCACTAATCTTATTTTGCAGACAAGAATGGTTAAAAACCTGAGACTCAAACTGGCTTACCCAATGCCATTCAGTGGTGACTTTAGTGTTCAAAGTTAGGCTACCTGGCTCCGAGTCTCTACAGGCTAAACTATCTCAGTGTCCAGTACAAAAGGGAAGTCTTTGGAAGAATTGCCTTTGCTGCACATATTATAATGTGCACATACCAGGGCAGTTAGGAACTGTGTGGCACCCTACTAGAGTATAATGCTAACATTAGTATAAAACCAGCAGAGACCACATTTTTATTATTACTGTTCATTTGAAACTGATTAAGGAAAGGAAAGAGTCTTGAGTAACACATGCTGAGACTCCTGGTCTCTCCTGGCCAAGAGACAACAAAGGATGAAAATTTCTATTAAGGAGGAAAAGACAGAAGATGGTGCATGAGAGAGTTCTATCACTCAGGATATTACTATGTTATTGACTTAACCTTCAAAACTCTTGACTGGAAATTTTTTCAGCTTACTGAGATAACCACTTCTCCCCTCTACTTCTCCTCACTGTCATCCCATCTCAGAAGACAGTCAGTTAAAGCAACATTTGTGACTCTTAGGGAAGACAAATTTTAAAACAGCACCAGATTCCCTTTTCTTTAAATAGAAACCTCATTTCATAAGCTTCCTCATTTGCAGGCTGCCACTAACCAACTTCTTCCATCCTCCTCACTAAGCAATGGTTTCTAAGTCTTCCGTGATCTTGGGCCTTGTGATGTCTTGATTTCTGGCATGTGAAAGGTGGATATTTATTTTTAAAAAAACAAAAAGTTTGTCTCTTATAAGTCTTTTTTGGATATCTGTGAAAACTACAAACAAAACTCCATTGCCCTGAAAAGGAGAGGGAATAAATTAAATCTTTTCATTAGATGTGTCTATCTTTGATTATGCTTACTTATAGTCTACATGTAACTTCACTTTTCAGATTAACATTGACAGTTCGACAAGAGAAAGTATCACCAGGAATATTCAAGAACCTACTCAAACATGCTTTGAAGAGGCTCAAAAGATAGTGTATATGCACATGGAAAGGGATTCCTACCCCAGATTTCTAAAGTCAGAAATGTACCAGAAACTTCTGAAAACTATTCAGTCCAATGACTCTTGAGTATTTCCCAAAAGTTTGAGTTGAAGATGATATATTTCAAGTACTCATTTTGATCTTTTAATTAAAAAAATGAGAAATAAAGTAGGAATTTAAACAGAAATGGAGCTATAAATTGATTTCTAGTTTCCAAAGAGAAGCAGATTCCAAAGGTATGAACTCTAGAACTCTTAGTACATGAAACAGCACAATTGAAGGTGTATTTCTGTGGCTCAGTAAACATATAGAGAAAGGGAATATCTTTCTTCATGACAAGCATTATTACATTTTTGCTATGGTAGTTAACTGAGTAATGATTGTTTTCTTATTAATGAATTTTGCTGTAATAATGCACAGGAAACTTCTTTAAAACTATAGCTAGTGAATTAAATCTCTTACATGAATGTATTGTACAAATAGAGTGCTCTTAGTACTTAAATTAATAGACAAGTTTGGTACTCGTAGTACAATCCATTATACTTTATCATGAGCTATATTAAAAGGATATGTTCTTGAGAGAGATTCTATCCATAAAATGTTCTCACTAATTTGCCTATAACTGACTTATATTATACATTTCTCCTACATGTGAAAAACCTGCAATGATTCTATGCTCCTAAAAATGTGTGAACTTTTTTATTGATTCTTGCTCTTACATTGCTATGATGGAAGGAGATTTGGTTCCTGTATTTTGAGATTTTCTTCTCAGCATATGTATTGAGCATGATCTTAGCAATCAATAAATCTAAATATAAATTTAAGCGTTATAAATATATGTATTTTTCAAAGACACAATAAAGGTATTGTTCCAGTACATATTTCTAAAGGCCTGAAATTAGTCTGTTGGAATAATAAGAGTATATAATACTTTTACTTCCTATCGTTCTCACTGAAAGTGTAGGTAACGACATATGCATTTGATGTTGCCTTGCTGTTACTTTAAAACACTGAGTCTAGATTCAACATCCACATTCATTAGAGCAACACAATATTTACAAGTATAAAAATTGATCTACTGCCTTTCATATTTAAAGAGATTTTAGAAATTTCAAGCCTTATATTCCTGATGAGAGGAAAACATAAAAAGTGATTTTCTAGGAAATCATTTTAAAAATCTGTGTTTTCTCTCGGTTTTGAAAAGTAGCTTAAATATAGACTTGACCCTCCTGTGGAAACAGAACTTTCCCTCTCTTCTTAGTGATGTACTAATTTTCAAACCTCCCCATGCCATATTCTTTGAGCTATTTTATTTTATTGTACTAAGAAGAATAAATTTTATCAGTGAGATCCCTTTATGGTTCACAAGCTCTCAAGCATTTTGTCTGTAGTGTTTTCCACTTTCACAAGGAGTGACATGAGTATGTGCCTGATTACCACGTACTCAGGTGATGAGAAGGACAGGGGGACAAACCACCCTGCTTCCAGCTCAGAAACTAAGGAAGCCCAGGAAAAAGAAAGGAAGGAAGGTTGGAAGGAAGGAAGGATGGGAGGAAGGAAGGAAGGAAGGAAATAATGAAGGAAAGAAAGAAGAAAGAGAAAGAAAGAAGGAAGGAAGGAAAGAAAAGAAGCACTGCTAACATAGTAAGGACAACACTTTGATTCCACACAGAGGAAAGAACACTAAATTCATCACTAAGAAAAAGTTCCAGATTACCTAGTTTAACTATATAAATTCATTGAGCTATGGGTGAACTATAGAAAATTATAAACGTTTCTTATTCTTTCTGTTCTTCAGTTTCTTGTCTTTGAGATGAAGTGGTTAAAATAGATAAAGCACTTTATTTATAATTCTAATTATCTTCAGTACATTTAAGTTGCAGAGTTCTTCAACAGTTGAAGAGGTTTGTATGACATTCTGTTGCCTGTCCTTTGATTTTCATAGTACTTAATATGTCATACCTTCCAAACTGAGCTTTGCCACAGAGGCAATCTTCCAAGACGCCTCCTCCACTCCTGTCCCACAACTCCCACGTCATTCACTGCTGAAACCTGTGTTCAAGATTCAAGAAAAACCCTCAGGAAATGTGGAAACAGTGGACCGTATCCCCAAAAACGTAAAAATAGAACTATCAGATGATCCAACACTTTCACTTCTGGGTATCTTTTCAGAGACTGAAAACAAGATTTCAAAGACACATAAATACTGCCATCTTCTTAGCAGAATTATTTACAATAGCCAAGACATGGAAACAACCTACAGGTCCATTACATGTAGTGAGTTATCTCAGGGAGAGTAGGTAATGCTGAATATGAAAGTCATTTGTTTCATATATACCTTATACACAGGCGGAAGGTAACTTTATACAATGGTTTTAGTGCACCTGTACTTTGACCATGGCCTATCACATGAGGTCAAATGTCAAATTTTCCACTTGTGGCATCATGTTATTGCTTTTAAAACTTCATGTTTTGAAATGTTTTGGATTTTAGAATTTTGAGTTAAAGATACTCAACCTGTATTATTCAGCCTTAAGATAATTGTAACTCTCCTATTTTTGCCAAACAGAAAGAGATAAGCCAAGTGAGCAAGACACATAAGCAGCAACTATGAGCAAAACCAAAAGTTTCTACATGCTTTAGATAGTCTTCTAATCTTCCTCTACCAGTGGATGAGCATATTAACAAGAAGGAGTGTTACACATACATACCTGTAATTCATATGTTTTGAGCAACATCTTAGGCTATTTTCACTAAAATTATACTAATCTTGGGCTAGGCATGTAGTTCATGCCTGCAATCCCAGCTACACAGGAGGCAGAGAGAGGATTATGGTTACAGGTTAGTCTGGGCAGAAATGTCAGAGAGACTCCATTCTCAACAAATCAGCTATATATGGTAGAGCAAGCCTATAATTCCACTACATGGAAGGAGTAAGTAGGAGGATCATGGTTCTAGGCCAACCCCAGGTAAAAACCCTATCTGAAAAATAACTAAAGCAAAAAAGAGCTGGGGCATGGCTCAAGTGGTAGAGTGCTTGTCTAGCAAGTATGGCCCTGAGTTCAAATCCCAATATTACATATATATACCAAATCTTCCAAATACTGACATAATTAGTAGAATCAGAAAAATTAGCATTCTTATCTACTTATTTCTCCCTTTAAATGGAGAAATGTTATATTCTTTCATGTTAGGTAAGGAAAGTACCATATGGTATCCTGAAACAAAAGCTTTTAACTATGGTACAATTCATTGGATTAATGCTATGGGATGCTCACCCAGTGTTCTTGAACTTTTAGTATCAATAGATGTCAGTTAATCATTTATAAATCAAAGTGAGACTACACAATTAATAAGCCAAATGCTGTGTGTGTGTTAATATATCCATTACATATTTGCTTATCATTTTCTTTTCTATGAAGCTCTTGGACTTACTAATTCTCCTAAAATTGAGGCTCTCATGAGAAGATAAATAATTAACTATTTCATTAGCATTTAATTCAGTTTGGGGAGTTCTTTTGAAATATTTGACTTGAGAAGAGAGAATATAAGCTTAAATTCAATTTCCACTTAATCATAAATACTATCTCTCTGAGAATTCTGTATGGATGTATGTGTTTTATTTTACTTATAGTTAAAGTAGTTTCAGAAAAGACAGTAAGATGGAAAGAGGGAGAAAGAAGAAAAAGAATAAGGAGGAGGAGGAGAAGGAGGGAGGAAGGAAGGAAACAGTTAAAGTTTCAGGTTGTCTTAACTTTAATAAATATTTGTTAAACATTCATTAACTAAAACAATTTTTAAACAATTCAAAAATTGGTATTTGTCATGTGATTATAAGGATATTTTTGTATTAACAGATTTTGACATGGTATTTGTTTTGTCCTTGGTAGTTTGAGATGCATACATTTAAAAATTCTGAGATCAGAACCTGATATGTTTATATGTTTTCCATCATTAGATAGACATTTTTCCAACTCTGAGAATATGTAAAATAAGTCTTCATTGCTCCTACATAAAAATAAAATCTTACCTTTTCCAAAAGAAAATCGTGACAAAGATTTGCATATTCAGAATTCAAGCATCTTGGCAGAGATGAACACTTCCCTGTTTATAATTCGTCAGTCACACCAGAGTTTCATTAACTACAAAGGACTTTTTACCAATTTTGGAAGAATGACTATAGAAAAGATATACATGCCTTTATCTTCAAAGACATAGAAAGTTGCAATTTGAAGAAAATGGTAAGACTACCTCCCCCCCACATATCTTCCAAGTATGTAGGACCTGCAATTCCACCACTGTCACGGATGAAAAATGGCATCTCAACTCACATTCAAGTGAGGAATGAGTCACTACTGCTAACACTTTAGCAGTTGCCCACAGAAAACAAAACTTGGAAAAACAGAATGCAGGAATATTAGATAGTGCTGGATAATATCTGGACTGAGAGAAAAAACATTAGGAAGATTTGAGGTTACCAAATATCAAATTGGAGTGAGAACTTGTGGGTGGGGATGGCAAGTACAAAGGCATTGCTTATAAACATCTCACTATGTGATTTATAGAAAAATCAAAGGGGCAAACTGAGCTTAAAATTTAGGTATTCTAAATTGATAATTATGCACCTTACTAGAAAAAATAACATTGCTATAAAAATAAAAGAGGAAATATTAAATTTCTACATGAAGCATATTTACAGAAGCATATTTAATAAAAATCTGTGTAGCTCCTATGGAGCCCAGATATTGTACACACAACATTAATTGAGTTTTTTGTGGTCAAAATTAAAACACAGTAATGGTCAAAACAGACACGGTCAAGACTTGTTCAACCCCAGCAAATGCTTCTACCTCTTCCCAGTGGAATCTAGACAGAGAAGGTACTGTCTGAGGTGAGGCTTGAAGAATAAGTAAGAGATGACTAAGAAGAAAGGGAAGCTGTGAGATTGGAATAGAGCTACAGAAGGAAGAATCCTGTGTCAGAAAGCAAGATTTGGACTGTTCCATGTTTGGGCACTGCTCCAAAACAGAGCAGCTATAAGAATTAAGAAAACTGCTTAATATCATTGGATATTGCTTTTCCCTCAC